CCTCTCGCTGTCGCTCCTCTTCTCGACGACGTTCTTCAGCTTGTCTCTGGGCCTCCTCTCTTCGTCGCTCCTCTTCTCGACGACGTTCTTCAGCTCGCTCCTCTCGCTGTCGCTCCTCTTCTCGACGACGTTCTTCAGCTTGTCTCTGGGCCTCCTCTCTTCGTCGCTCCTCTTCTCGACGACGTTCTTCAGCTTGTCTCTGGGCCTCCTCTCTTCGTCGCTCCTCTTCCTGATGACGTTCTTCAGCTTGTCTCTGGGCCTCCTCCCAACGACGTTGCTGCTCCTCCTGAAGCTTTGCTAAACTTGCCAAAGCTGCCGCTAATTGCTCCATAGGATCACTAACTCCTGTAATAAGACTTTCTTCCACTTCAGTACAGTCTTCCGTATCAACTGAAGTATAACTCTCTCTGAAAATATGTAATCCTCGCAACTGTCCTCTGTAGTCGTGTCTTGGTAAGTCCCGTAGAGAATACCGCCCTTGATTCTCTCGACTGTTATCCGACATAAACAGTCACACCAGACACTATAAACTTTAGTCTCTCTCTCTTGCAGAGATACAATAGTGGGTCTTTCCTCTACAACCGTTTGAGAACTATCCCACCGCTGCCACCAAAAAATGTAACAGACGCTCCAACTATCTGTTAACCAAACTTTATTCTTAATCAACACGAGACTCAACTGAGCTCAAAAACAAAACCAACTAACAAAACAAAAACTAACTCACAACTAACACACAACTAACTTATAAAGATCTTATAAATGTCCAGAAGGTTCTATAACATACAAGAATACTTTACATGATTGTTCTAGAATATACTTGAATAAACACATAATATATAATTACAATAGTACACAGAGAGTTCCGGATCCATTTAGAAACAACTTCTTACACAATAATTTATTTGTCCAAGTAAAATTTTGATCTAAAATTTTGGAAAGAATCATTACATATATTTTCCTTTCTTATCAATCCAGTTGCATGCATGCACCCACACATGCACGCATATTAATGAGTTCCTTATTATTGTTTTTCAAAAGGTCAAAGTTCAGTGCAGTCAGAGACAGCAGCAGAATAAAGAGTCTGACCTTTATAACAAGAGGGAGAGACTGAAACAAGAACTAGCGGAAGAGAAGAGAGCACATGCTGAGATTGAAAACTACCTCAAGAAACACATTGAAGTAAAATTAATGATAATAATAACAATAAATAATACATGTACATGTGACTTCGCTTGTAATTTTGAATGAATTTTGCATTTGTCTACTATGTACCAGTACATGTCTAGATTATTGTAAAAATAGAATCCATTGATTAATGAACTCTAATCTCCACATTATTTATATTTATAATTATATTTTTAAAAATAAATATTATAATATTTGCACCTACACGTACATGTACATGAGCATACGTAAATGTCATTATTATTATTGTTATTGTTGTTGTTGTTATTATTGTTGTTGTTATTGTTTAGGATCTTGATGGTAAGGTTGAGTACTGGATGTCAAAGTATGAAGAAGACTTGGAAATGAAGACCACTGAAGTACAAGAGACTAAGTCAGCCAAAGCAGCAGGACTACAGAAACTGGACGAACTATCACAAACTGTAAATAAAATAAGATAAATATGTAATATTGTAAATATTAGCATTTACTGTATTTGTGTTAATTAACTTTAATGTACACAATACTGTTAAATGTGTGTACATGTACATGTAAAATTTTGGATTTTAAGTTGATGAATTTATTGCTAATAATTATACATGTACATGTACCATTGAGCATGCACTGATAGTGGTTCGTAATGCCAAAATTCTCCTCCCCAACTATAGTACATGTACATGCATAATGTATACAGCAGTAATTGATTAATATTATTTTTCCATTAATTGTGTGTGTGTGTGTGTGTGTGTGTGTACAGTATAAGGAGAGGGAGGAGGTTGTGATTGAGCACAGAGCAATGAAGGAGAGACAAAGACTTAAAGAAGAACAAGAGAAGAAAGAACAAATGACAGCAACCAAAGTACAACAATAAAATTATAATGTGTATACATGTACAATTTTATTACTAAATATGTACATGTACGTACAGCTATATGTACATGTATGTGTACATGTAAAGTTATTCTCCCTCTGCATGTATATTGTACGTTTCTCTTTTCTCTCTCTCTCTCTCTCTCTCTCTCTCTCCCTCTCTCCCCCTCTCTCCCCCCACTCCCTCCCTTTCCCTCCCTTTCCCTCCCCTTCCTCCCTCCCTCCCTCCCTCCCTCTCCCTCTATCCCCCTCTACCCCCGCTCTCTCTCTCCCCCTCTCCCTCCCTCCCTTACAGTTACANGCCTGGTGGAGAGGTATGATGGTTAGGAAGGGACTGGGTCCTTTTAAGAAAGGGAGTAAGAAGAAAGGAAAGAAAGGGAAGAAGGGAGGAAAGAAAGGAGGCAAGAAAGGAAAGTCAAAGAAAAAATAAAAACAACAACAACTATAACAACAGGAATATAATAATAATTATTATTATTGTGTATTATTTTCAAATAATGATTATAATGTCCAGTTCAAAATCAGTACACCACTTTTAT